GACGTCCATTAATTAGGGAATGGCTGAACAAGCTGTGGTATATGAATGTAATGGAATACTATTGTGCTATAAGAAATGATGAGCAGGCTGACTTCAGAAAACCCTGGAAAGACTTGTATGGTCTGATGCTGAGTGAAGTGAGCAGAACCAGGAGAACGTTGTACACAGTAACAGCAGTATTGTTAGGGATGATCAGCTGTGGAAGACCCAGCTACTCTGATCAAGACAATGATCAAGACAATTCCAAAGGACCCAAGATAAAAAGTGCTATCTATCTCCAGAGAATGAAATTATAAACTCTAAAGGCAGATTGAAGCATACTTTTCTTAACTTTAAAAAAAACCTATTTTATTTTTGTGTGTTTTCCTTTGCCACATGGCTAATATAGAAATACACTTTGTATGATTTCCCATGTATGATCGATATTAAATTAATAAAATAATAATACAAATAATAATTTAAAAAATTAAATTAAATTAATAAAAGCAGGCAAGCCTTCTCAAGGAGGGGGGAGGCGCCAAAGAGAAGGAGAGAATTTGTAACTCAAAAAATTTTTTAATGATTGCTAATAAAATTTTTACATGTAATTGGGAAATACTTAACAAAATTTTAAAAAGAGTTGGGTTTTTTTTTTTAAAGAATCAGACTGTGGAGGACTTTAGGTAAAAGGCTAAGGAATCAGCAAGCCAGACCTGGTAAGCACTGCTTATCTTCCTTGTGTCAAAGCTCAGCTCAAGGCCAGGCAGTAAACCAACTATCATTCATTGAACACCTACTACGTACGTGGTAGGCCCTGTGCTAAAAGCTAGGGATAAAGGCAAAAAATGGTCCCAATTCTCAAGGAGCTCCCAGGCCAAGGGAGGGGAACCTTTATCCTCGAGGCCACATGTGGCCCTCTAGGTCCTCAAGTGCAGCCCTTTCACTGAATCCCAATTGATGGAGTCCATCCCCTTGGTGCAGCCTTCCCTCTTCCCCCAGTTATTATTGCTTTCTTTCTTCAATTTTCTTTCCATCATAATTATTTGTGTCAAAGTTACGCTGCCACCCACAGCATTTAAGCTTCCTGAGGGCAGAAACTGTTTTTGTCATTGTACCTCCAAAATCACAGAGGTCTGTTGAATAGAAGCCTCCACCATGGGTTGGTTAGTTTTTTTGTTTGGGTTTTTTTTTCTTTTTGGTGAGGCAATGGGGTTAAGTGATCTGCCCAGGGTCACACAGCTACTTAGTGTCAAGTATCTGAGGCACCATTTGAACTCAGGTCCTCCTGACTCCAAGGCCCAAGCTCTATCCACTGTGCCATCTAGCTGCCCCCAGGGATTGGTTAGTTTTGCTGAAATTACTTTAATCTAACTTTTATCAAAACTCTTTGTTACAAGAGCTGGCTGACTAGATGTGAGGCAGGGAATATATTCAGAAATGCTGAATTAAAATCAAACAACATCAAAAATGTTTGCTGAGCTGAACTGAATCATAGCATCACCATGAAAATATGTGTCCAGGGGCAGGATGCACAAGACAGCCTCTGGGTATGTGCCCAGTCTGAGATCCAGCAGTGGGTAAAAGTTGCTGAGAGGGGCGAGGTTTAAGGAAAACCAGAACTATCCTAAAATGGAATAGGCTTCCGTGAAGGTCATGACAACAATTAGCATTTACACAGCGCTTTAATTTAAGGTCAACAAAGCACTGTACATGCACACCACTGTACTGGTGATATAGGTAAGTAATTGTAGTTACCATTCTACAGATAAAGAGGCTGAGATGTGAGTAAGTGATTTGCCCAGAGTTACTCTGCTAATATGAATCTGAGGCAGGGTTTGAACTCGAGTTTTGCTGATTTCCAGTCTAGCACTCCATGTGCTGCACCACCTAGCTAGCAGGGGCTCTCTCTCCTTATTGGAGGTCCTCAAACAAGGCTGGATGACCATTGTGGTCAGGTTCAGGCTTTGGGTCCCTTCCGACTCTGACACATTCACCAAGCTCCTAATTGCTCCTAATTCCAGAGCTTAGCATAGTGCCTGGTATATAGTAGGCACTTAATAAATGTTTATTGGTTGGTTGAATTCCAAATCAAGGAACTGTCCTGACTTCGTTGGTCTCGCTTAGGATTATCAGGAATTCCTATATCTAGAGCCAGAAGGTCCTCAGAGACCCTCTCATCCAACCCCCTAATTTGACAAAGGAAGAAAACTGAGGCCAAAGGTGTAAGTGATTTGCCCATTGGTACACAGGGGGTGAATGAACACTAGAGGCAGTCCTCTGGACTCCAGAGTCGATGCTTTTGGCAGGGGGACCAAGCTGTCTCCTCTTAAATTAATACTCAGAGCCCTCTGCCTTAACATTTCATCAGGGCTGCTAACAGGTAAGAGTGAGCCTCTCTGGGCCTCAGTTTCCTCCTTTGTAAAATGAGCAGGTTAGGCTCCATGACTACTTCTCAGCTCTAACCCTGTGGTTTTAATACCACCCAACCTTCAGCCCACCCAGCAAAGAAGATGTAAATGAATTTATCTGGCAACAAAGGAGACAGGAATTCCCCAAGGGCATAGATCTCCCTAACAGTGGTTCTAGGCACAGAATAAGAAAAGTCTGGGTGTGGGGTTTGGCCCAATGTTTTTTCCCAATCAACAATTCCTCCCAGTAGGAGGCAGGGAAGAGATAAGAGGATGGGGTATGGACAGGGAACCCAAAAGATACTGAAAACAATATGGGGACACTAGACATGACCAAGGCGTGTTCAAGCAGTTCCCACTAGGGGAACTTGGAATAACAAGCTTTATGTTTAGGGTCCAGATCTGCCCCTTATTCTGTGTGATCCTAGGAATATCATTTAACCTCTCTGGGCCTCAGTTTTATCATCTGTAAAATGAGCTCTTTGGACCAAATGGGCTTTGAGGTCCTGTCCAACTATAAATCTAGGATCTTATGATTCCTGGAATTCGATTCTGCAAACATTCACTAGATGCCTATTAAAAGAGGCAGCCCAGGCAGGCAGTGGATAAAATGCTGGGTTTGGAGTAAAACAAGGCTTGGATTCAAATCCTGCCTCAGACATTTAGTAGTGCTGTGATCCAAGTCAAGTCGGTTATTGGACTTTAGTTTCCTCATCTGTAAAAGTACCCACTTCCCAGAGATATGGTAGGAATCGAGCGGGCACCTTGCAAATACTCAAACAAGTATAGAAATGTCATCAATTTTATTTCCAGATGAAAGATGACAGGGATACAACAGTGGCATAGAAGCCTGCTTTCTGGGGACAGGGAGACAGGGGTAGTTGGAGAAACTTGGTCTAGATATATAGATAAGCATCCAAACAGTAATGGTGTAGGTGGGGCAAAGGAGATGTTTTACGAAATTTTGAGATGGAAACTCTCCACTTTTCACAAATTAAGAGCTGAAAGGGACCTCAGAGGGCATGTAGTACAATGCCCACATTTTCCGGATGAGGAGGCTAAGCCCAGAGAGGTTGTGACTTATCCAAGGTTACACAGGCAGTGTCAGAAACAAGATTCCAACTTAGTTCCACTGTATCACATCCCAGTCCTTTTTCCAGGGCCTGAAAGAAGAACCAGAGGCTAAACAGACCTCAGAGGCCATTAAATCTACCTTCCCCCCCCATCCCTGACAAGTGGGAAAACTCAAGCCCTGTGATGTAATAACTTACCCCCGTGGATAGTGTCAGCGGCAAAATTTGAACCCAAGCCCTCTGACCCCAGAGCCAAAACACTTGCCACGGCACCAGAGCAGGCATGGCCTAAAGGATGTATCCCCTTACTCCTGTACCATTCATTTGGCAACTAGTGTACACAAAGCTGGTTTCCTCCACAGTTCCTGGCACACAGTAAGCATTTAATAAGTGCTTGTTGAATTGACTTCCTTGTAAAAGGAGGGAATTAGACCAGAGAATAATAATAAGCTAATATTTCTATAGAACTTAATTTGTGCCAGGCACTGTGCTAAACACACTAGCATTCTCATTTGACCTTCACAAGGATGCTGGGAGGTAGGTACAATTATTACCCCCATTTTCAGTTGAGGAAACAGAAAAACAGAGTGAAGCGACTGCTCAGGGTCACACAAGTGTTTTGTGTCTTGATTTGAACTCAGGTCTTCCAGACTCCAGGCCCCCAGCTCTATCTACCATTTAGCTGCCACCTTAGATGGCTAAGATCCCTTCAGGTTCTGAGATCTATGACTCTATCATCTATCCCCCTAATCCTAGCAGGGACTGACTCCTCCCTTTCCCTGTCCTTCCTCTGAACATTAACTGAATTTCCAGAACAAAGTCCAGGTCTGTCTACCAAAGGCAGTGTAGGTGCTCAGTAAACGCTGGTCACCTGTGATAGTGAGCCACGTGTAAAATATGAATCCTGACGCTCCCTAAAAGCAGGCAAGACCTTGGATGAGCAGGGACAGTGAAATCTCTTTCCCCCGGGAAGAAACCAAAGTGAGAGGAGAGATCATCTTAAGTCTACGTGGTCCCAACAGGTGGAGAAGAAAACGGGCCCCTCCAAGGCCCTCGCCTTCTCTGGGCCTCAGTTTCTTCATCTGTAAAATAAAGGGCTTGGTCTAAACGACCTCCAAGATTCTTCCCGGCTGAGGAGCTCCCCAGGCGTCCGAGCCTGGCAGATGCGTGTTACTCCAGGACAGAAAAAAGGGGGGTCTGGTCTCCTCCTCCTCCTTCCGTCTCTCTCTCCCTCCCTCCTTCCCTCTCTTCCTTCCTTCCTTCCCGGGCCGGGAATGTTCCAGCTCCTTCTCCCTCCGACTTCCTGGCCTCCATCAAATCGCATCTGCGCTCCGATCGGCCCCCCCAAACCAGGGAGCAGAGGGAGGAGTGCGGGGCAGGCGAGGTGGGCCGGTGGCTGACGTAGGAAGTTAAAGGGGCTGGCACCGGGAGCCGGGAGTCGGGAGGCCCTGCGAGAGCCAGGGGAGGCCTGGCCACGGGAGAGGGGCGGAGAGGGATCGGAGGAGCAGGAACCCCACCCCTAACCCCAGCCTTTCTTTACCTGCTCGGTCCCGAAGAGTGAGTGCGCGAGGCGGGTGCTGGCCCAGGGACCGGGAAAGGTGGGGCTCCAGGAGGCAGGAGCACCTCCCCTCCCCTCACCTGGGCGGAAGTGAGAGAGAGAGGCTGGGGGCGGAGCACACTCACCTGGCAGGCCCTGCCCTCCCGACCCCCTCCCCAACCAGGGCGCGGGGGCGGGGCCCAGCAGAGGGGGCGGGGCCCAGCCAGGGGCCAGCTGGGGAAGCAGGGGCACCCCGGGGCTCCAGGGCCAGGGAGGGGACAGACTGGAGGAGGGGATGTAGAGAGGAGGAGGAAGAGAGCGCGGGGGGAGGAGGTGTTGTCAGTACGCCTCTGGCCCTGAAATGACTCTACAGTTACTTAGTATCCTCCTGAATTTAAGGGACGCAATGGATAGAGAACCGGGCCTGGCGTCAAGAAGACTTGAGTTCAAATCCAGCCTCAGACACTCACTAGCTGAGTGACCCTGGGCAAGTCACTTCATCCTGTTTGCCTCCCTTTCCTCATCTGTAAAATGAGCTGGAGAAGGAAATGGTAGACCACTCCAGTGTTTTTGCCAAGAAAACCCCAAATGGGGTCACAGAGTTCAGACAGGACACAACAGCAAATATATAGCACTTTAAGGTTTGCAAAGAACAGTACAGAGATTACTTCAGTTGATCTATGTAAAAGCTAGCTATAATTATTTATGAAGGGTAGGGGAGTGAGGGGAAGGAAATAGGCATTTCTGTAGTGCCTACTATGTGCCTTACAAATATTATCTTATTTGATCCTCAAAACAACCCTGAGAAGTAGGTGCCCTTATTCTCTTTTTACTGAGGAAACTGAGGCAAACAGGTTAAATGACTTGGCCAAGGTCAAACAGCTAGGAAGTGTCTGAGGCTGGATTTGAACTCAGGTGTTCCTGATTCCAGGCCCAGCTGGAAGGTATCTTCCAGCTCTCCCTTTGATCAAGCAGAATGAAAGCTCTAGAGAACTGGGCTGTTTCCTGTTTACTTTGTCTTTATATTCCTAACAACTTCTTTTTCTTTTTTTATCTTTATATTCCTAACAACTTCTTTTTCTTTTTTTATCTTTATATTCCTAACAACTTCTTTTTCTTTATTTCCTCATTTTTTTGTCTTTATATTCCTAACAACTTCCACCTAGTAGGTGTTTAATAAAGGTTTATTGCATTGCATATTGGAAAGAGGGGCTGGAGTAGAAAAAAGAAGCCATGGAGGTAGAAGGGAAAAGATGGTGGAAGGGGAGGCAGGAGGCTTGAGAGGGAGAAAAAGAGTGAAGGGAATAGAGATATGTGAATGATACTGGAAAGATAGCCCCCTCCCTAAATAGAGGATAGGAAAGGAGGGAGGAGGAAAGGGAAGGGAGAAAGAGTCTGAATGAGTTGACCCTGGCCTCCAGGATGAAGGAATTTGGGATTTGGCAAGGAGTTTCACCTCAATTAATCATATGCTCCTTCCAATTGGTAGTAAAAAGGAAGGAACCCTGGTGAGAGACAGAAAGAGAAGGACCTGTGAAAGCCTTAAGGATTGTCCCAGTGGATTGGATTCAGTCAAAGGGCCATACTTGAGGACCTAGAAGGCCACATGGGACACAGGTGCCCACCCCTGCTAGGTTCCCAAAGTAGGTGATACTGCCTGCTGGCAAGAGCTGGAATGATATAGGAGGTGGCAATAGCTTCTCGTGTAATTGGGAGGCATTGAATAAAAATAAGGGGGCAGTGAAAGCATAAGGAAAGAAGAGTGGAATTTTGAAAAACTGTACATGTTTCATCTGTTGTGTAACAGAGTTAAAGTTGTAGTGATTATATTATTTTCCAAATAACCAAACAAAATGCAAGTTATAACCTATTGGTGGTCTAGTCCACTGACAGGTCTTAACAAGCAAGTGTTGGCTGGTGAGCACATTGCTCATTGTTGGGAAGTCCAGCATGCATCATCAGGAATAAGTGCATGTAATGACCTGTTTACAATATGATACTATATGATCACATGATGTAATATTACATCATCAAAATTTCAATTCAGGAAAAAACCCACAAATTCACAATAAGTTATTAAATTTAAGATGAGTCATTTTTTAGAAAAATGTTTTATATTTTTTCAAAATTATGCAAATTTACAAAAAAAAAAACATTAAAGGGTTAAAGAAAGTAGATTTCCTGCGGGGGCATTGAGTAATTTTTTATAAAAGCAGGGTACAGGCCAAACAAGTTTGGGAACCTCTGGTCTAATCTAACTCCTCTGTAAAATGAGGATGCTGGTCTAGGGTACTTCTAAGTAAGCTTCTTCAGCACTAACATTCTATGAATCCATTTGTTCTACAAATCGGGAAACTGAGGCTCAGAGAAGGATGCTCAACATATTAGATAGAAATAGAAGAAACTCATTCTGATCTCAGGTCCGATGCGTAAGTGCCTTCCCCTCCTCTAAACACAGTCTCCTTTTTTGGGAAGCAGACGGAAGTAGACTGAAAGCCTGGAAAGATGGGAGGTATAGGAAGAGACAGTCAGACAAACAGAAGAAGAGACAGATGGCCTAGTGGCTGAGAAGCAAGGCAGATGGCCCTATGGAAGAGGAAAGAAGCAGACAGACTGATGGATCGCCAGACTCTCTAGAGGGAGGGAAGAAAGCTGGAATGGGAAAGATGAGCAGATCATAGGATTGAGAAGTGGAAAATAATCTAATCCAAGCCTTCTTTTAACATGTGAGGAAACGGTGACCCAGACAAGGGAAACAAATTGCCCATCCTACAAGGCAAGTAGATTATTATGACCATAGATTTCTAGCTAGAAGAGATCTCAGAGGCCATCTCATTTAACCCTCTCATTTTACAGGTAAGGAACTGAAGCCCAGAAAAGCCACAGAAATTTCCCAAAGTCACACACAGTATAAGTGGCAGAGCTGGGATTTGAACCCAGATTCTCAGATTTCAAATCCATTGTGCATTAGGGAATAAGAGAGCAAAGAAGAAACAGGAAAGGGGCAGATGGGAACATAATCAAGGGCGAAAGAGACAATATGGAAGCCAGTGGTGACGGCAGGAAAACAGAAATTAACTTGAAAACAACCAATTGAAATCCAGCAGAATTGATCACACCTGCGGCAATCACTGAAGAAGTCTCGTATTCTCATCTTTTTTTCACGTTTAAATCTTTAAATTTGCTCTTTTGCCTTCAGCGATTTTGGAATACAACAAACTAGTCGACCTTCTACTTTAACGGACAATTTTTCACTGTCATAGCCTGGGCAGAACAGCAAGAGCCTGACCTTGATTAAAAATAAAACCCTTCATGGTCTTTGCATTGGCCATTTTTTCTGGTCTGATAACCCTCACCTTGCATGTCCCCCATCGCTGTTCAGGAGATCCTGCCTCTTGTCTCACTCCTGGTTCTCAAGGCTCCTAAGCTCCCTTGAAGGCTCAGCTCAAGTGTCACTTTCTACAGGAGGCACCTATGTAGCTTAGCAAGGTGCCTGGCACATTTGTTGTTGTTCAGTCATGACCAACTGTTCGTGACCCCATTTTGGGATTTCTTGGCATGTGGTTTGCCATTTCCTTTTCTAGCTCGGTTGAGGCAAACAGGGTTAAGTGACTCACTCAGGGTCTCACAGCTAGTGTCTGAGGCCACATTTGAACTCAGGTCTTCCTGACTCTGGGCCCAGGAAATGAGATCATATAGGAAAAATGGTATGGCTTCATTAGGAAATGATCCAGAGAGAAAGGAATGAATCAAAGGAGCTACGGATGGCAGTGGGGGTCTCATGGTAGGCCATTTTGCCCCAATCTTTTAGCTACCTAGCTACCTGGCACAACAAAATGCCTGGGACACAGTAGATGTTAACTAAGTGCTTCCTGACTAAGATATCTGTCCTGATTCCTCACACCTAGTAATGCTTCCCTACCCCCATATTACTTTATATTTACTTATCTGTCTGTGTGTTCTTTCCCCAGATAGAACAAAAGCTCTTTGAAGACAGAGACTTGTAGTTAACCCAGTTCCTGGCACACAGCAGGCATAAATGCTTACTGAATGAACAAATGAATGGACTTGGTCAAACATGAATTTTAATTGCGTCCCATCCTCCACAGCTCTCCCTTTTGTTAGCTATTTCCTGCTACATGTCCTTTTCTAATTTTTCTAATTAATAAGCATTTATTTCCACCTGCCTCCTCACTAAAAACGAAAACAAAAATCCATGTAACAAATATGCACAGTGAAGCAAAACAAATCCCCAAACTGGCCATGCCCAGAAGTCTGTGTCTCCTTCTCCATCCCCTCTCGGCTGGGAGCAGGCTTCATTGTTCCTCAGACCTTTCCTGTGACTCCATTTCTCCATCACGTTTCCATTTTTCCCAGTGTAGTAACAGTTGAATTTGTAGGAAAATACATTTAGGCCTGGGTGGGACTTTAAAGGTCATCTAGTCCAATGCCCTCACTTTATAGATGAGGACACTGAGGCCCAGGGAAGAGGAATGGATTTCCTCATGTCAACCCGGGTATAGATCGGAACCCAAATCCTCTGCCTCCAGATAATAAAAACAGCAAGCGTTCACATTACTATAGCTGATTCCCATAGCTAACAAGTGTCTGAGGCAGGATTTAGACCCAGATCTTTGTGCGTTCAAGCCCAGCACTCAGTCGCCTGTAGCCCCTAGCTGCCTCTTTGTTTATTCCACCATTTGACTGAGGGGCTGGCTGGGGAGGTGTAGCCGAGGGTGCCAAGGTCTTCTAGCACCAGACAAGGAGAGTTGGCCGGCTTCAGCTGTGGCCAAGTGGACGCACCTGCTCCACCCCTCCTCATACAGGCTCATTTCTTTGCCAAGTCTCTCTCTGAGTTATTGTTGTTGTTTTTAAAGCAGTTTAGGTGATAATCCATCTGACTATTACTATGCTTTCAGACACTCTAATTGGCTCGTTATGCCCCACCCCAGTTTGCTGGAGGAAAAAATCCATTCTCTCTTTGGGTTAACTTCCTCTCTCTCAATTTTGAACAGTGTAGTCAGAGACAGATTCACGGAGAATGGTCATATAGTTTAACAGCAGTTTCATGTACATCATAACAAAAATGAGCTATAAAAGGAAAAAGGCTC